TACAGAGTTGACATGAGACGCGTTTTAAAATGTTCATAGCAGTTTTTCTTCAATTTAAGACGTGTCGGAGCTGTCTACGTCATTTGGTTTACGATTTATAAACAAAACAAAATGATGAAAAAACGTTTCTTCACAGTAGTGGAGTTAGCTGGCCGCGCCTTCGAGTAGGCTTCAATTGTCTTCTCTTTATTCTGTCTCTAAATTTCAGTAATAAGAGAGATAAATTACCATTATCATTTTTATGAAGGAAAAAAGAAACTCCATACTCCATAGTGTAGTATATTTACGTAAAAGAGCAAATATTATGACACTACTATGCGAAACTACTTAACTTGGAAAAAAGATATTATTTGAAAAAATTCAAAAACTAAAAAGCAACGGAAGTAACTATCTAACACCTTGATTTATATCAGTATTACTAAATGTAATATATGGGGAAAAAACAGTTTTTTGTAGGTTTTTTCTAACTCTACACATTAACTATATAAAGGCTATGATATCACTACACTAAAGTATCATCCTGTTCTTATTGAGAAAAAATCAGCAAACATGTCATGTTCTAAACTCTCATCAACTTTGTCAAACATTGGTACAAATTATCAAGACTTTTTACGTAAATTTACCGATGAAAATTTCATGGATAATTTATTAAAAGAATTTGATGAAATATTGACTAAATTAAATGTGATTGATCAATTTTTATTTTCAAAATATGATCAATTTGTTAAAGATATTAAAGATTTTAGAGAATCATTATTAAAATTTGTATTAGAATCAAAAGTGCATTTATCTGTATTGAAAGATAATTTCAAAAAACAACGTTATCAAAATGCTACAGATGATATAAAATTAAAGTTTATTAAAGAACGATTAGATAAAATTAATCGTCAAACATTATTTGATTATATTAATGGATGTCAAAAATTGATAACAACATCGTTGGATTTACATACTGAATATGGTACAAGAATATTTAAAATTAAATATTTTGTTTTAAACATTTTAGGTTTTACAGCTATGGGTGCCCTTGCTGGGTTTAGTATCGGTTTAGTTTTACCATTTTTAACTGCATTTGAAATGGGTGTTGGTGCTGCTGTTGGTGCACTTGCAGGTCTAGCTTATGTCATTTATCAATTTGCCTGTGAATGGGATAAAAAAATGAAAAGTATCGAAATTGTACGTAATCATTTAATAGAAATTCATGATATGTTAGAAAACTTAAAACAAACGTTGCATGGAGCATATTATAGATTAGGTATAGCACAAACAGAATTAGATGAACAACAAGAAGGAAAATCATTTCAAGATGTTGCTGATCTAGAAGATTATGTGTTAACTTCATATAATGAATTTATTAAATTAGAAAATGTTTTATTAAACATGAGAGACCCCGTACAATAAGAAGTAATGGAAAAGGATAGGACAGAGACAAATAACGAGCATTACCGACTTTTATTTAATCAAATGCATACTTTGTGTTTGTCTTTTCTTTAATAAACCAGATGAATGACATATCAAAATATAAGTCTTCTTGTGCTAAATGAAATGTACGCTTAGCCTATCAAACATCGGGTAGAAAATCCTGAAGTTCTTGATTGAAACCTTTATACAAAAAAAAAGGTTAAGATCCGTTCTCGAAAGTTGCTGAACATGAAAAACTAATATAAATAAGATGCATGATTTATATTAGTTTAGCTAGAAAACTCGTTTTAGGCATTTTAAAATACAACGCAAAAATCGATTCCGTTTGAAAGCTGCACTAACGCGGTTTTATGCATTTTCAGTGCGCTTCCAAGTAGAGGTTCAGAATGTTTCAGCCAGCGCTCCCCGAGCAAGCCTAAAATTTTTCCGAAACACACTGAAATGATGATATTTTTCTATATATTCCGTTTAGAGATATGTCAACCACGTCGATCTAAAAAACCAGAAAATAGCCCGTTACATGTCGTGTTTTGTTGACCGTATAAACTACACAGGTGATATGGAGAAGTAGGAGTCACATAGTAGTAACAACCGTTCAAAAAGCCGCTTCAAGAAACTTGCGGAATCCTTCTCCTGGATTCTGTAAGATTATGATAGAATTAGAAATGAAATTCTGGCAAGATTTTTGATCATCCAGAAACTGTACTGCGATATTAAATATTTAAAGTGATAAATGTTTAGAGGCTATTAATTGGACTGTGTTTGTACAGGCAATTCTAGCAATGAACTGGTCCTAGCGATAATATCCATGGATATACACTCTCTGAAAGTTCAAGCGAGGATGCTCCATGCTTCATATACGGTAAATGTAAGAAAGAAAGAGAGTAAGAAAGAGAGTTTCTGAGGAGAATAAAAAGCGTTTTATCGTGTTGACAAAAGAAAAATTAAAATAAATTCAGTTGAAATAAAAAATTTGCTTCTGTATGGAGGTGGAACTGCTTTGCATGCAATTCAACGTTCTCCTATTTACATCTAAAATAAAAAAAAAACGCCAAGAGCGTCATTTGGAAGTCCAAAAGGAAAAGAGTGAGCAAAAGCAGAAGAAGCAGGACCTAGCCCGCGGAGATAGAATCCCCTAAGCCCTAAAGACAAAATAATGTTATTGTTTTTAGCAAATAAAATCCTCTCAACAAACAAAAATAGATGATAAATAATTCTCTACTTGCATCTTCTGTGTGGTGAAGGAAACTCACAGGTCCGGAAAAGGCTTTCCCGCAATACAATTACTTTTCAACGCAACAAATCATTTAAAATATATTGACTCGAAAATCTCGAGCTGACAAAATGTAGAAAAAAAAGCCCAGTAAATTGAAAGAATGATCCCTAAAGGACGAAAGGGGTGAGAAGTGAACTAGTTCAGCAAGTTTTCGGTTGTTTACAGTACGTAAAAACAGTTTTATCAAGCTCTAAGAGGTTAACCTGCATGATTCCTTGGTTTTATTCTCTTTTACCCAAAGCATTTCAAATGATAGCACAAGCAGTGTTTTTAATGATTAGTGGTCTCGCTTGATTTTCTATAAACTAGAAAATCCTCGGAGAATTCCCATATGTATTCTTTGAAAATCGCCGAACATTTTCCATAAATAATTTTCAACCTTACAGTGTACGCTAAAAATAAGGAATATAGATGAAATACTGTGAAATTTCAGTCTTTACTAGTTTTGAAATCAAGGTACAACGAAAAAAATTTATTCTGAACACGTTGCCATGCATGAAAGTGGAATCGAAATATATGCTCTTATGCTTCGAAGTGTCTTTCTTTTCGTGTGTCATGTATTCGCTTTAAATGTTTTTTTCTGACACCGAAAGCGATTTTATTAAAATTCATCGAAAAAGAGAAAATTTGACTTCTTCGCGCTACTACAGAAAAAGAAATGAAACTATTAGACTTTCTCTTTTAGGGAGTACTAGAGGAACTATTTTGATTTAGAATAATCCAACTTCAAAATATTGGATTTTAGCTGAGTTATAAAGAATTTTCTATATGCCTCAAATATGCAGGTTGAAAATGATCATTTTTAGCGAAATCGATAAAAAGAAAAGGCATTCTTCCTTGATCACTTCTGATTATGGGAATTTTAAATATGGTCAGTTGATAGAGCTTTTCAACAGCTACAAAATCGTCATCTTCTCGTTTTAAATTTCATAAAATATAAAGAACTGAAACTTAAACAGCCGTCTTTTGGGTTGGAAAGTAATGAAGATTGAAATTTCACAGTATTTCATCTATATTCCTTACTTTTAGCGTATGTAAAAAATTGTTTAATATATTTTTTGTAGAGAATAAAACGGCGAACCTTTAAAAGAAAAAATAACTTTGTATCTTCAAAGAAAAAAAAGTTATAGTCGAAATACTCAGAGGTTCATTTCATCTGAAACACCCGATAGTTTCGAAAAATATGCTCGTAAAACCCAAGGATTTCGGAAAAAATTAATAAAAATACCACTTTCATACAGTACGAAATCAAAACGATTTAGTAAAATACGAACGAAAAAAAGAAATAATTCTATTTAGTATTTGAAAATACCAGATATGATTTTTATTCTGGAGAAAAAACCTTTTTTGGTACTGTAAAATACCGTTCAACTTTCCGCTATAAAACGGTTGGTAACCTACAGATCCAAACCTTTTTTCAGTTTCCAAAAGGCCGTATCCTAAGAAACCATGTTGGTATCTCAAGATGCCATTTGATATTTCAGAGCGAATCAAATACCCTATGGTATTTTACCATTAACACAAAACTAATTGGGTTCTGTAGGATATCTCTTACGGGTACTTTAGTAAATCCTTTTGGTATCCTATAGTACGTCTTGACTAGTGTCAAGACTATACGTCCGGACGTATGGGGAAATTTCTGCACTGGTCTACCGACGGGTAGCACGTCATGCTCGACTTTTGGACACCCCGTCCTGTCTACTTCTCTGGTTCAGCATCCGGTCGTACGTCAAGACTTGTAGTCCTGACACTTTGAAAAAAAATTCAAAATGTGGACTAGTCTATACGGGTTACTCGGACACTTCGGACTAGTCCGGACGCTGGTCAACCAGGATGTTTGCTCACTTGGGTCATATCTTATTCTGCAAGTAGGACAGAAAGTCGCTTTTGGACTTTAGAACTTCAAAAGACATTTAAAAAGAGATCTTGAAACACCATGTCTCACTTACAACGAAGCCATGGCAGCACAAAACTGGTGGATAGTAGAAAATCCATGCTTATTAAAAAATTTTAATTTTATTTTGAGCTAGCAGTTGCTCATAGCCAAAGTAATGCATAACCGTTCGTCTGTGGTTTAAATATTGCGTCATCTAACTGCCGAAAAATTTACATCTTTTTCATCTGTATTTATATATAAAGAACGATAAATGTAGCGATGGAACGATATATTTTTTTTCTTCTACCCAATAGTTTATTGGATATGGTTCCAAAAGTCTGTTGAAACGAATAGAGTTTATGTTTTGTTTACAATTTAAGTGGACACTTAAATTAAACGTTGCTAAATGTATTAACTCTGACGGTAAAAAGCTCTGCCAACGTTCACCATCAATAAACGAATCATCCGTTACGTACAGATCAAGTGATAAAGACATAAGCATAGGCAAATATGATAATAACTCTTCTAAATTATCCCTCACAAATAACGCTAGATAAACAGCAGATGACTTTAAAGAAAAAATCGTTAATAATGAATTTGAAAATGGTTTTTTATCACATTTTTCATCGGCTGACTGACATATAGTACAAACATTTAGATATTTAATATTTGGTAAAATAACAAGTAACACATGACTGTTGAAAAATGATTTTAATGATATTGTAAATTCGTTAGTGTAACACAAGGAAACGATAAATAAAAACAGTTTATATCAAACCATTGCAGCTTAGTGTTTATCGGATCGCTAAGATCCAAAAAAGAATAAGTTTGGGAAGCAAAATGTTGTTTTATTGATAACTTTTCAATGTGATGTTGTTTTGAAAATAAAAAATTTGTCGAAAATTGCGTCTCACACAGATCACTCTGTGACGATTCTTCGTCACAACCTCTCTATTCAGTATATACTTCTTTCGGTAGGGCTACTCTCTTTTGTTCCGTACTGTTTCTTGTCTATTTTTGTTCTTTCCACGCTTTGTTCTTTTGTTGTTCTTATCTTTTGTACATGCAGTAGTAAATATATATATTAGTGTTTCTGTTAGAGTTAGTTTTTTGTAGTTTGTGATAAAGAGTAGTCGAATAAAAGAGTGATACTACATATCTTAACGCACGCATACAATCAACTCAAGGACTTATAACTAGAAGAAGTATAGGTTCCTCACACTTGGCGATCTCGTCTTGTCGAATCTTCCGTTCTCCTGTGAAACTTTTATTATTTTTTTTCTATCTTTTTGCTCTTGCTCTTATTATCTGGTAAGTCACATTGGTTTTTATCATGACAGAACGTCTTACTTTATCCTCATCCAAAAGGTCCATCCATAGGTCCATATAGATGCCAAATCTGGCATCTATATTAGCAAAAGTATTCAATATACATCAAAACTTCCTAACTATGTTCACGAACTACAGCAAATCAAAAAAGTTCTTCGAATTATTTCGACTTCTTTTTGAACGTCGTGCCGCTATTCTCCTTCTGACACCAACAAATTACAATGTTCGTCTTTTTAAATATCACATTAACCCGCTCTATTTTATCTCAACAAAATTAACCGAACAACGGGAACTTTACATTAGCAGTGATACATCGTTATATCGAATAAAAATTATATCAATGCGCTCATTACAATGCGAAAGTATGCACTGGATGCAGTTAATGTTTAGTTGCACATCTTTATCGTCTTTCTCTCTTGAATGCATGCCCGCCGAAAGATGATTACATTTTCCTTTGACCGTTATTCGATCTAAAAATTGCAAAATGTAATTTTATTTGTTCTGTGATTACAATTAAAATTCAAACTGTCTATGTATAAAACTTTGACAAGAGAATTGAAATGTATCTAAATCTTGTAATAAGTAATAATCGAAAACAAAATCCAAAAACGAAACATTATGACTAGTTTTTCATCTTTTAAATAAAGACACAAAAAAATAACAGCAAATTTGTAAAAATGGAAAAACTATATTTATATTTATCGAATTCTCAAATTCTACTTTGAAATAGAATCCGATCAATCATACTTTGTTGATATAATGTTCTACTAAACATTCTTCATTCGATCTTATTCTCAAAGATAATTTCATATCACAAAGTTCGCGGTATTCCATTATAAGAAAATTACATCTCCAGAAACAGTAGTTGTAGAAAATATTTACTTTTTGACATTTTTTAACTAACAACTAACATCTGCATAGTGTTGAAATTACCTCCTATTGACAGGTTATATTAGAAGTGCTAATTTAGGCTTAGTCTCGTTTGTAATAAATATTGGAAATGAACAAAATGTTTATTTTCAAAAATAAACAAATACTCTAAAAGATATGTTATGCAAATTCCATAAAAATCTGGGTCATATTAATCAATATGAGGCATTTTTCTCTGAGAAATGTAGATTTTTTGCTTGAAAAATATAATGAATATATTAGTCTTTCAAAAGTTATTGTTTTGTATAGCATCTTAGAGAAAGGAGCCATTGGAATAAGAACACAATGAGTTGAACTGAATTATTAATAAGATTCAGTCGCCCTCTCAGTCTACTAAATATGAAAAGATTTTTATATAAAAGAGAAATATTTAGTCATCTCGCCTCTGCTCTTATACTGTTGATGATAATGAGCTTTCCCGTTTTTGATCATTCTTAGAGAAAAATAATGATGAGATTATGAGGAAAAAAATGATCCTGACAAATATTGAATTACTTGTAACCAACATTTTTCCTTCGCCGACATTTAGCACATTAGTATTGATGACATACTATTTAATCAAAAACAAGTAAAAGTGTCACATATTATGAATATGTTACGGGCAAAACTGGAATTCGGTCAAATCTGAGATTTGCCCGGTCAAAACTGGAATTTTGTTCGTGATCTTTATACGATCTATCCATTATCTAAATCTTGTAATAAATGATAATCGAAAATAAAGACACAAAAAATAACGGCAAAAAGACAAACTAAACGTCTTTTTTGCCCTTCAAGTTTTCATTTATTGTTCCTTTCGTTGTTGCGGAGAGAACCATCTTGTTAGTAACGCTGCTGCAAAGGGTGTTAATACTCTCCAGATAACGTCCAACTTCGTCCAAAAAGGTATTCGAGTAACCTGTCCTAGTAAAAAGGCGGTGAGAATACAAGTACGGCTTATCTCATATTGATTGTAAATAATAGAAGAGATAAAAAAAATCCAAGTGAAGAAGCAACGCTCATATGAAAATTTTTACTTCTGTAGAACTCTTAAAAGTTCGGTGTATCCAACTGCGTGAAATGAGAAACCACTTTCTGGAGAAGTCCTTAGAAAGGTCAGTGGGACACGATCTATGCTATGTTGCTCACTTACGCTAAAGGATATTACTAACAAGAGCTGAATACAATTTGCACTATACGTACTTCCAGTTCGAATGATAAAAACGTAATAACTTGTAAAATTCGCTGATGAAGGACTTGTTAGCGGTTCAATTGGTTTTAATGCTTCATTTCTTGTTTCATCCGAATATGACGTCCACGATAATTGTTCACCCATTATCGGAAAATATACTGTAAAATTTGAGTTTCCAACTATATGATCCTTTTTAAACTTTTCGTATACATCTTTCTGAAGCAATACATTTTCCTCTTTTCTAATTCTTGTTTGAAGATAAAAATTCTGTTTTGTTAAATCCGTTTGTTTGTAAAAAAAAGGGTTATCACAAAGTTTTGGTTAACCCCTGATGCAATTTATGCGAAAAGTAGTTACAAGTTACGCCATTATGGTGGTGCCATCTGTAATTATTCCAAAATTAACATCTTTAACCAAAACTTTGGAAACCCTTTTTTAAAGTAATTTCAAAAATACTTCGTTTAATAACTGGTTTTCTTTCCTATTAATTTCTTCTTGATCAAACGAATAATTCATAACGGATGAATGAGCGAAATCAATCAATGTAACGATCAACTTCTTATCATTCGTTTACTAATATATTTGGTGGTCTTAAATCATTGTGACTTATACCATTTTGATGAACTAGAACACACAGACGATTAGGTGGGAGAAAAAAAGAGAAACTAGCCTTTTTGGGTCAAAAGATCACATTTCAAGTAGAGCCCTGCAGGTTACAACTTTTTCATAACGTATAACCTGTCCTATAAAAACTTTAACAACCTATAACCTTTCATAATCTTATACCTCGTAACCTGTCCTAACCTGCAATATTTTTTGCGTAACCTGTTCTGTCCTGTCCAGCGAAAAACTTACTGCAAAAAATTAGTGCCCAAGCTCGAAAAGTTTTCCTAATAAAGTAAATTCTTTTCATTTACTTTATTTATGCAGCAAAAAACAACAACAAAAGATTACATCTCTGAACTTTCTGATGAATAATATATCGTCAACAACATCTGGATTCAATGACTGTCTTCGTGTTTCCAGTACTTCCTGATGCACTAAATATTTTTTTTTGACTAATAAAAACTATTTTTCAAGTTCTTATTTCTTCCCCTTTACAGATGGCGCTTAATATTTTTTTTACGGGTTGAAAACAGGGTACGGGTAGTGTAACCTGTCCTGTAAAATTTTCATAACCTAAACCTGTCCTAACCTGCCAGGACAGGACAGGTTATGTAGGACCTGCAGGTAGGGCCGTCTGCTTACTTATTACTCGGTGTTACTTTACCAAGTAAAGTAAAAAGAATTTGTTACTTGTTACTAGTAATTAGTGACAACAGATGCTAGTTTGTTACTTTGCTGAGGTTCAAATGACGTTGTTACTTTTGGTAAAGTAACAAAAGGCAGGAGAGCTTGACAACCACATTACGAAGTTGAAAAGATTAAATGTTTCACATGCAAAAAATGCAGTTAGTAATAAAATACAAAACTGGAGTCTTAATTTCTCTCTCTTATCTGCATATCTGCGCACTGCAAAGATTGTTCTTGAATTGTTCAATAATTGAAAGGCAGTAGAACATGAAGAATCGGTGCAATCAAACTCAATGAACAGAAAAAGGCCTACCTAACAGTATCTTCTGAATAGAAAACGAAAACGAAATTATTGTTATTAAAACGACAAAAAAACTCAAAACAGGTATGCAGAAATGTAAAAATAAAATTTTACATTTTTATTGATTATACATGTAAATTGATGTGATCGACCAAATCATAAAAAGATTATGTATAAACAAAACGAACGATTATATCTGACAAAAATGTGTTTATCTCAGTGTTCTATATGCATATAGTCTACTGTCATTCTAGCTTCCTCGGAGAAAAAAATATTCATACCAAAACTAGACCTGTGCGCCGCCGCCGAAGGCGTCAAAATTTTAGTAGTTTTTGAATAAAAAGTCATGAGAAATTAGAAAAATAGGAATAGAAGTTATATTGTAATTAGTCCCGTCGCTGACGATGGAAAAATTTCAAAAAATCTTTTAGCGCGCCGCCGATCAAACAGCTTTTTTTAGATGCCGTCGCCGAAGACGGAAAATCTTTTAAGGGGGCTTCGTCGCTGCCACCAATTTGAAAACTTTTGTTTCACGCTGCCACCGATTTTCAGACCGGCGTGTCTGAAAAATGCGAAAGCACCCGCTGAATACTTGCCAGTCTCGATTGCCTATGAGAACTTGCATCGAGCACGCAACTGTTGACACCGCCATCTACCGGTTCGTAAAATGGAAGTGGCTTTTAATTTGAAGTTCGTAGTAATATAGAGTAGGATTTTGTAGTTCGATAAAGGTAAATTTGCGCTTGTACTTATTGCTCGACGTGAAGAAGAATTACAAAAAGTTGCCGAATCTTGTCTTCCAAATTGTAAATCATTAATTGTGAAAGCAGATGTCACGAAACGAAATGAAGTTGAATATATATTGACTCAAGCAAAAATTGCATTTGGTCGTGTCAATGTTTGGGTTAACAACGTTGGTCTCGGAATTATCCGTCCCGTTTTGCAGTTAACAGATGACGATGTTGATAAGATAATTGCTGCTAACTTAAAATCTGCCTTATACGGAATGCAAATAGCCATCAAACATTTCCAAGATGATCAAAGCGGTCATGGTCATTGTATTAATATTTCATCAGTACTTGGTCGCATACCTTACGTGGGATTGCGATCGATGTATAGCGCATCAAAAGCAGCATTAAACTCCTTGACAACAAATGTAAGAATTGATTTAAAAATGGATCCAAAATGTCAAAACATTCATCTAACAACTATTCTACCAGGAATGGTACAGACAGGTTTTTCTGAAAACGGTATCGGAAATACACAAGAGTATACATTACCCTACTTGGGTCCTATGCCAAGCACAGTACAAAGTGTAGAAGATGTTTGTAAAGTTATCGCAGATGTGATCAATTATAAAGGAAATGCACCACCACGAGATGTGTATACAAACCCTGAACATAAAGCCTTGGTTAGACAATATTACAATGACATAGCACTTTTTGAAGATGTTTTAATTCCAAATCAATAAACAGATCGATCGATTTGACATTTTTATTACTAACGGTTTGATTATAAGCAAAACTTCGTGTGTCCAATGTACTTTATACTAGAAAATAGAGAATGTTACTTACATTTCAACTATATCTCATATAGATCGAATGAAATTTTTCTACTTTTTTTATCGTTATCGTTCACTTCTGAGCGATGTTTGCAGTCTAAAAATGTTTTATTTTAAAAGGTGTGCAACTTATAAATAGTAAAAAGAATAATTAAAAGCATTTTTAGTAACGAACAACTATGGAAAGATCGTAAAAAACGTAAGCACTAAACGTACTGGTCTTCTAAAACTAGACAGTTGATTTGATAAAACAAAAAGAAGTACCAATACAAATATATACAAACCTCTTTGACGTTGAAAACTGTCGGCTATCGTTTGAATTTTTGTTCTTTCTTCGAAAACAAAACAAAAGACAAATGTTCAGCTTAACTATAACAGAATGAGAAAGAGATTTTGTTACTAATTCCCATAGTTTTGCTTCACAAGTATTCAATAATCGTGATAGTTCGAAACATGGTAGCCATTATTGGAATTAAAATTAAAATTTGAGAGATTGATTGATGAGACAATTATTGACGTTAAAGATTTTATAGTGTTGTCATTCGAAATCGCATTTGTATCTAATGTGGTAGTATGATCCTAGTGAATTAAAAGAAAAATACCCACGTTCCATTTGAATTTTGATATCTCCTACGTACTCATTTATATGCGTCATTTGCAGTAATTAATGAACAAAAAACTCTCAAACTAAGGCAAAAGCCATAAACTTATCACTGAAGAAGTACGATAGAAAATTCGAGAGGTAGAGCCGTATGAAAGAAAAGAGACAAAATTGAACATAGAACTATCACAAAAAAACACGACGCAGTTTTCATTTAAAATCTAATTTATTGTTAATTGATTTTCGAGCTTTCGACAAAGGGTGGGCCAGAATTACTGGAACGAATTGACTACTAATCACTACTGAAACGTTTTAGTAATTCTGGCCTACTCTTTATATATCTTACATAATCAGCATGAAGATGACATGAATTAATTAGTCGGCAATCACGCCAATGAGAGTTGTTAATACGGTGCGAAGCAGCTAAATACGATAACCGAAGACGAAGATTTTGTTTACAGCAGTCTTACTACAAGAAAGTGTAGATTACCTGCATAACAAAAAAATGTTTTGATTACTAAAGCCGGGGAGAGTTATGAGGTTCAAATAATGATTTATTAGTCTACAGCTTTAACCTCTATCATAGCCTACAGATTTTATCTTACATACTACGTTAATCATCTTTAAAGCACTAATGCATTTAGTTATAGGAAAGTCCAAGAATTGGAAACTTGGACTGGTTCTTCCCAAGCAAAAGAAATGGAGTTAGAATCTGGCGGTTGGAGCTAGGTAACACAGTTTTCGATCCGGTTAAGTTAGCTCCACCTCAAAAAGTTTAACCTACGATCGGGCGATTCAGGAGGTTATCAGTTAGATTAACCGCTCGATCAGGTAGCTCTAACCGGCCAGTTAACCGACCTGTCAAGCAGATTCGAACCTTCGAATGTTTTGCAGATTCGAACCTGCCCGAGAGTAATATTTTTCTGTCCTCTCGTATTTTCTCCTTGAAGGAAACATTTTTGAGAGTTATCTCTGGAACACAAAATGTAGCAAATTTAATTTTCTAAATTTTAGGTGTTGGGACCAGATTTTCAGACATCGTTCTTCATGCTGAAAAACAGTAAATATCCTTTTCCACCGTGAAGATCGATTTGTACAAAGTTGAGTCGAGCAGATAAAATTCCCCATCGAGGAAATCTTTGGAAAACTAAGCCATGTGTAAAAACCTCCAATAGCATTGTATTGATTTTTTTCATGGTTGATAGCGCGGGGTGTCTTCTTCCAAATGGGAGTTAAGCCAGACCTTTCTTTTCCGCGGTTCGGGCGCTACTGATAATATTTCTTAGCCTTCATTCAAAATTTGAGTGCAAAAATAAGTTTTGAATGACTATAATTACAATAGTGACGAAATAATTGAGGACTCTACTTAAGGCTGACCAAAAGTTCTGAGATTTGCAGATAAAAATCCACTGAAAAGATCTAATCAAGCTTTCACTCCAGCAAGTATTCGAGTTCGTAGTCATGATTACCCACACACAATTAATTTGAGAATTAATTGAGAATTAATATGAGAAATCTAGAACTCATTAGCTATTATCACATAATATAATCCCCATATTTCTTTGGTCGATCGTGTCCAACAAAATCCAGTCAATCATAACAATTCTAACCATTGACTTGAGTGCCGTAATCAAGACCATGCATTTTTTAAGTAAAGATTAGTCAAAAAAATCTTTTGACAAATGTCTTGAAAGAAATTAATTGTGTGTGGGTAATCATGACTACGAACTCGAATACTTGCTGGGGTGAAAGCTTGATTAGATTTTTTCAGTGGGTTTTTATCTGCAAATCTCAGAACTTTTGGTCAGCCTTAAGTAGAGTCCTCAATTATTCCGTCGCTATTGTAATTATAGTCATTCAAAACTTATTTTTGCACTCAAATTTTGAATGAAGGCTAAGAAATATTATCAGTAAAACCGAATAAAGAAACGTATGCCGTTTCATCGAACAAGTTGTAATCTAACAAAATGTCATACTCATCACTGTCGTAATAGTAATATATATATGAAAAGAAATGAAGAGGAGAAATGCAGGTACCTGTGCGAATATTAATTTACATAAAAATTACACAGATTACGCAATGTGAATTGTTACAAACTACAAGGGTGATATACTACAAGGGTGAGAAGTAAGAGTCACATAGTAGTAACAACAGTTCAAGAAACCGCTTCAAGAAACTTGCGGAATCCTTCTCCTCGCATTCTGTAAGATTATGGTAGAATTAGAAATGAAACTCCGGCAGGATTTTTGAGCATCCAGAATCTGATATGGGATGCTCTGTGGAAACCTTAGAAATAACTGGAACACAGCTAATCAATCACACTGAGTCGTGGCATTTGTTTCTGGTAAAAGACCCAAACGCTATTTTCTAAATATTTAAAATGACAAATGTTCAGAGATTAATAACTGCATTCTGTTTGTTTTCATCCAATTAATGTTTGTGCTTTAATCAATATTGGTCTAAACTCATCTTAATTTAGCTATTAGTGTATCTGAAACACTAAAATGGCTTTTACATTATGGCATACAATTATTTCCACGTGCTTATAAATGAACCTCTTGGTATTTTGATTATAAATTTTTCAATTCTGGTCGACGGCGCGTCCGGCTAACTCTGCTGCCGTCAAGGAATTCCGTAACGTTTTTTCATCATTTTGTTTTGTTTATAAATCGTAAACCAAATGACGTAGACAGCTCCGACACGTCTTAAATTGAAGAAAAACTGCTATGAACATTTTAAAACGCGTCTCATGTCAACTCTGTA